ACACAGAGACCTACAATTTGTCAAAGTGCGGGGAATAAGAAATTATAGAATGTTCAACCCTCATCCATCTCCTGTTCCCAATGCTCAGTTTTCATTGTGGTAGAGGGGGTGGGAAGAGTTTAAAAATGATAGATGGCTGTAAGGAGACAGTATATCCTAGGCAGCAGAACATCTGCACATGTGAACTCAATCAATTGAGACAATATGCATGAAACCTGTGTAAGTTTAAATCTCAAATCCCAGCATAAAGATGAATGTTAGGCATGAAATCCCACCCCTAACTATTGAACTACTGGCAGTTGTTAACTGCTGGGAGAATTTCTTTTGAGAATGTAGCCCCTGGTAAGCTGACTATGCACCCGTAGAAAGCCACACGTTCAAGAATATCTGGGCAGCAAAATTTGGCCTCGGTGGGTTTAGAAACAATAATTTGAAAAATGACATGAAGTTGGGTGGGTAGGGAAGGGGAGATAGATCTGGAAAGAGTTGGAGGAGAGGGTACATATCAATCATTATATGAAAGTCTCAAGGGAATAATAACTTTTTTAAGAAAAATACAAGTTATATGCAGATGGGATAATATCCTTTACCTAAAGGTATCTATCAGTGAAGCTATGAAGACATACGGCTTCTTCAAGTTATCTAAGAACTCATTTGCAAACTCACCTGTAAGTTGACCTTGAGCACATTATAATAAAGAACTAATGTCTCCCATCTCTCATTTGGAATAATTAAAGTAACAGCTATTGAATTTTCATTAAGTTAAAGACCAGCAGCTGGAACAGAAGTAAGCAGCATCATGGGAGCTATAGCATGCTTAGCCCTTCCAATCACTTCACAGTAAAAGTATGCTTTAGGTGTCTGGAGACCAGGCCATATAGCTGCACCAGCTACCACAGGTAATTTATACTAACATTGAGTAAGCCTTCCATTTCCCACTGAAACCAACGACGAATGTGAATGAGTTGCAAATACTCCATCAATTCTTTAAATGTAATCCACAAAAGTGACTTGTACTTCAAATGAACTTGAACAGTAGGGAAAAAAAATAGTTTGTCAGCTTTATTTTAATAACAAAACATCCCACATTTAACTGGAGAAAATATGTACTAGAACAAATATGCTCAAGGACCCCACTTATACAACGCTTATACAAAAATGTGCACAGGAGTTCTACAAGGTGGACATTTTGCACCCGTGCCACTGGGAGGCTGCAGGAAAAGAACCTACATTAATCTTCTCTGCAGCGTCCAGATCGGCTGTTTTGTCTCTATAAATCAGTTCTCCTACAGCTAGGCAACATGTCAGTGCCAGCAATTATGGCCACAATGGCTGAATGCCACAGACCCCTGTGTGCTGTTATTACCCCACTTTCCCACAGGGAAGGGTGTCAGTACATTTTAAATTATTAACATTAACTAGGGCAGTAGTGTGTTCCTGGGGGCTTATAAGAGTACGCGCACACTGACATCTATAAAGAAAAGTGGATAACTGAAGAAAGAACAGAGTAAGAAGAATGTACCAAGTGCAGTTACAGTCGTACGGGAGACATCTGAAAATATGGCCTCACTTCCATAAATATGGTACTCCAAAGTTCTCTGACAAAATGAAGGGTTCACCTTAAAGGATCATAGCGAAGCAAGACAGCAGAAAATGAAGCACCAGGACAGAGTTTAAGTTAGGAATGGGAAACCACACAAAAGAAGTAAATGCAAGAGCTACTTTTTTTGTTTGTTCTATTCCTACACATTTTAACAGAGCAGTTGTATTTCATATGAAGATAAAACAACCCTACTCTTTTTTTAGCCTAGCTAATAAACTTCAAAACATGCAGCTGAAAGAGAATCAAATGCTTATTTCCTGGACCAAATCCAGTATCTCAAACCGGGCAAAAAGAATTTGAGATAAGAAAATGGCTTGCCAAAGAAAACAATGAAAGCTGTCATGTGCCCTGCTAGAGAAGAAGTTATGCTATCAAGAATAGGTCAGGGCTTGCTGGAAACAAATACTGCTATTACTTCTTGATCTCAAGATGAGCGTGGCAAAGAGCATAGCTTGTGTACTGTAAGGAGGAACTTCACCAATTCTTTGTCCACATGTTCAAATGAGTAAGGAGGTCTCTTTTCCAATGAAATGTTCATACTCAAGTTTTCATGCTTTAAGGTTTGGGGAAAGTCCTGAGAAAAAAATAAAGGGGTGGAAACAAGAACTGATGTTGTAATTTTTGTGGACAAAGTACAATATTTAAAATTTCAAAAGGAAAAAAAATTCATGGAAGACACAAATAGCTTGGGATTGAGGAAAAAGCATTATGATCATTATAATTTCTAACCTTCAAGTCTAAAGAAAACAGACAGTGGTGAATGAAAGCTGTACTTAGGTAAGACATAAGATTTCTTGAGAAGGAAAAAAGCAGATAATACAAACAAGAAACACAGGCTAGTAAAAGTGTGTGAAATGACTGGAACTCAAAAGGTCTCTCACATTCCTGAGACACATACCTACTGCCATTCACTTACCATCCCATAGCTTTTTTTTTTGTTTGTTTGTTTCCACAATTTTCTCTCACATCTGTTTTCAAAGAAGTTCACTGCTTCATGACCGCTAGTATTTTTAGTTCAAAAATTACTCTTTCTAATTTTGTGTACAATTTTAAATGAAAATAGAATTACATCACTTTCTCCCTTTCCTTCCTCCAGCCCCTCCCAGGTATCCTCCCTCCAACCCCTCCCATACCACCATCCTACAGATACTCTCAAAATGTTTTGTAATTGCTTCTTCTGGCATGTTCACTTGTTTGCTGGTGAAGAGGATCGAATCCAGGACCTTGCACATATTAAGCAGGCATTCTCTAGGCTAGGTCCTAACTTCTTGGATTTTAATAATTAACAGGCCTGTCTAGAATATTAGTATTAACTGTTTTGGTATTTTAGCATAATGGGATAAAACAATCTGTTTGGCAAAATATGTAGCCTGATCACTAAGGAACAGAGATTATACTCCAAACTCGCTGATACAAAATTGAGAATTGTGAAAAGGTGTAAATAAGAGTTTTTGAAAGATCAGGGTTAGAAACAACGAATGCAAAAATATATTCTTCAGTCCTTGATCCTTTCCAGCAGTGTTTCTCAACCTTCCTAATGCTGCGATTCTTTGTTTCTCATGTTGTGGTGACCCAACCATAACATTCCATCTAATTTTGCTGTCATGAGTAAATACTGCTCTACTCAAAGTTGAGAAATGCTGCTCTACTCAAAGACCCATATGACAGGTCATAAGCAATGATGGTAAATGACAGACAGGATTTGAGTATCCACTGTGTATAAGGTTATCGTTCTTTACAGCTTCAAAATAGATGTAACCGTCCCAACTTCCACTTTATTACTTTATGAAAGAGCAATTTCATTCCACAGATTAGGAACCTGAGACAGAAAAGCAATTCCTGCATGTATTTAAAAGGTCTAACAGGAATTTTAGCTTATGTTTTTGGATACTAAAGTTCACGTGTTTGAGAATGTTAGGGCTGAATCATTTCCCAAGAATTTCTGATGATCTCAGTTGTCACTGTGCTTTGAATTAATAAGAGGTGTATTTTTAAATAAAACATAAACTGACATCTTCCAGGTTAGCTCTGTGATTCAAAAGTGGTTTGCACCTCTACTAGTGCCTTTTAAAAGCCTAATTATTTTAGTCTTGCCCAATTTTAAAGATTGATTTTCCCCTTAAAATTATGATTTGTTTAATTTAAAATATCTTTATATTATGTGAGTACTCCTAGGACTATATGATCTCATCTTCCTTTGTAGACTTGTTCCTGGCCTGGTCACTCATTTCAGTATGGGCATTATAGGCAGCCTTAAAACTTTTTTCATTACTTCATTGGTAGTGGTTTACCAATGTGTTGATAGTTATCATAGATTTACCAGAGTTTGTCAATTTTAATATGCAAATGTGTAACTAAAATTGAATAATTTAGCAAATGTCGTTAGTAAATTTATGTGATAAATTGTATCCTTAATGTGAAGAACGGTGAAATGTACATTTTCTATAATTCAATGCAATCTGATTTATCATTTGTATATTCCAAATTTTTAATAGAGTTTTTTGTTTGGTTTTTTCATTCAGCGGTATTATTTTACATTAACCTTCGATATTCTGAAACAAAGTAGTGAAGAATTCTCAGTATTTACTTGTGCTGGGAATGTAGATCAGTTGGCTGAGTGCACACCAGGCCTAGGTCCCAGCGCCTAGAAAACAGAAATTAACTCGTAAGGATAAAAGAGGTAAGGCATATTCCTGAACATTCCCAAATGCGCATATTTATCTGGAATAAAAAGACAAGATCTTTGGGATTCGACACTGAGGACGATGGAGAGGGTTAGTTTCCAATATATAAGTGGCACTCAGGGATGGTCGGGAAATTAGAGTGTAGATGCTACACACACTTATCCCACGAGATCCGCCAGGCGGGTGGTGGACGTCTTTTGTAAGTGGGTCCGTTTTTGACAGCTATGCAGACGCCTTTCCTGATCCTGGCAAAAGGGTCTGCACTGAGTTCGAGAACCGGAGGCACCCGAGGCTCTGACCGAAACCACGCTGGCCGACCTTTGCAGCTAATCTAGACCTGCCAGGCGGCCTGGGAGTCAAACCCGGGCCCCGGGGACCAGGACGCCCGCAAAGGTGTGCGCTGCAGCAAAGCGGGAACAAGCAGGCGTCCGCTCCGCCGCTGCGCTGGACTCTGCAGCCCGGCCTCGGTCCGAGTCTGCGTCTGCGCACGCGCGAGGCAGCCCCACGGGGACGAAGACGCACAGCGGGACCCCACATCCCGGCTGAGGCGGGCGCCGGCCTCGCCGCTCCCGGAAGGGGGCGGGGCTTCGCGCGGCCACGCCCCGGAGCGCGGCAAGTGAGGTGTGTGTGTGGGGGGGTGTCCGGCCGCGCCGCGTTTCCGGCGCGCTCCCCCGCGCCCCGCGCCCCGTGGTCTCGCCCGCCCCCGCTGCCATGTTGGATTGTGCGGCAGCCGCCGCCGCCGCCGCCGCCAGAGGACCGGAGGAGTAGCGAGTTTAGCGCGGCCGCGGGAGCGCCAGGACAGCGACCATCCGGCCCGAGCCGAGCCGAGCCGAGCAGGCGGGAGCCGGCAGAGCTTCCCTGTCGGCACGCGGTCCCAGGGCCTCGGCGCACCGGAGGGGTGGCGGGATGCTGCGCCTGTGACTGCCGGCCCGCGCCCCTGTCACCCTGAGTGGGACCGAGCGCTCGCCCACCTCCCGAGGACACCAGCCCTGGACGCTCCAGCCCACCGGCGACACCATGAGCTCGGGCCAGCAGCCTCCGCGGAGAGTCACCAACGTGGGCTCCCTGCTGCTCACCCCGCAGGAGAACGAGTCGCTCTTCTCCTTCCTCGGCAAGAAATGTGTGGTCAGTGGCCGAGACCCCTGTCGCCACCCACTACGGCCCCTGGCGGGGTCGGGCTGGGTGGGGGGGGGGCTGGAGAGTAGGAGGGAGAAGGGGGCGGGCGCCGCTGGGGTCCCGCTGCGGGCCAGGCCTCCCGGGCCCTGGCGCTGCCCTCGCCCTGCTCCCCCGGTGCAGGCCGGCCGGGAGCCGCCTCCCTGAGCTACTGGAGAACAAGGGAGTGTCACCTCTGCAGGCCTGCCCAGAAGTCCAAGCCGGGGTCCGCGCCCTTGCTGCAGGTTCAAACTTTACTCTAGACCACAAGGGGATTTTCTTGGTGCATCAGTAGCTTAATCTCAGAGCAGGATCCCGGCGCTGGCTCTTCCTTGGCTTTTACTTCCTACTTCTGGATCTGGGCAGCCTCCCTTAACAATGCTAGAGGCGTTGGGAGTGAATAGATGGGGGGGGGGGGGGCAGAAGCGCATCGGATTTTCGATCCCCCCTTTAGGATTCCTCGAAAAGATGAAGTGGAGTGCAGGTTCATGGACGCCGTATCAGAGCAAGGGGCAGGAAATGCGCCTGCACCCCATTGCAAAGAAACAGGGTTTATTTCCCCCAGCGTTTGCGACTAGGCCTAGTTTCTGCTCTCCGTCCCACTGTTTTTGTTTGTTTGTTTTGTTTTGTTTTTCTCCCTTGCACTGGTAAGAGACGGTGCTGCTCTCTCCGCAGCCATGCGGAGTTTCTAGTAGTTTTTGGCCATTGGAGTCAAAAGTGATTCTGAGTTTGGTCCTGTGGGGCCAATCCCAACCCCAGATGGCGGATTGGGAGCTTGCAGTTCTGTGGGAAGGGGGAATGCGTGTTGTTGACGGAAGCTTTCATTATGTTGGCTGCAGGCCCTTCTGGGGCTGGGAAGGTTCTCCGGGTGAAGGCCTTATCTTGAGCTGACTGAGGTGACTCTTTTGAGGTGAAAGGGGGATTGTTGAAATACTGACTAGTGCCTTGCTAGCACCCGCCGATTGTGTGCCCCTGGAATCCAGGAAACACCCAAAGAAGTTACAGCTGAGTAGGAGCAGTTTATATTTTTTCCTTAGCAATGTTAGTTATGTCAAATCAGACTACACCTGCTTAAGAAGTTAAGAGTAGACAATTTCTGGAAAGTTACCAGCTTAATTGTTAACTATACGCTTAGTCTCAATATCTACTTTTGGAGGCTAAATCATCCCACTGGACTTAAGATGTAATTCTTGTTCTGAAATTTAGACTTTAAAGAACACCTAGTCTACAACCAGAAATAATAAACTGTTTAAAAAAAGAAGACGAAAGAAAGCTGGGGAGACAGCGTTAAAAACGAAGGCAGCCCTCCCGGTATATAGTATTTCTTTAGTATATGTGCTGCTGAAGCGAGCACATGGTGTATAGAATTTTAAACAAAAGAGAAAGTGGAACCCTTGGCCCCAAGTCACACAGTAATTTAGGAATGTAACTGGAACTGTATGTCTGGTCCCTTTGTACTTTCCACTACAGCGTGTTGTTTCGTGAGGATATTTTTCCCCTTAATGATTTGGTGATCAGAGTGGTGTTAAGGGAATAACTAGTTCATTTTTACATAAAACTAGTATCATTAAAATGTGAGTTTCTTAAAGCAATGTTAATTTTTGCATTTTTTTCAGCTTTTTTTTAAGATGAGCTGCCTGCAAACAGGGCAAAGGCCCCCTTTGCTGGTTTATTATATTTAGTATACAATCTACCAAAAGTAGCTTACTGTGTTCACATACCAGGCCCATGAGTTTCAGGCATGGAGGACATTGCATGTGTGTGCTAGTGTACACATTGCTCAGACCTTAACTGTAGTGTTTATCCAGGGTTTCAAGGAAATGACAGATGTGGGAGTGTATTTTGATAGACCAAGATAGCATGCCTCACTGTAAGCATAAATGGGTTGCTGAATTGGTTGCAAGTAGTCAGTGCTCAATTTCTTTACGTCATATATTATTAATCAACCTTACCTTTTGAATTGCAGTAATTTAAAACCACATTGTTGTTGCCTTCTCTTGTAAGATGAAATTGTGAAAATTAAAACTGGGAGACTTTGGTTTAATAGAGAGCAGTGTAAAATCAATATTTGGGAATAATTTTTATCAGCTTAGGTTCTCTTTTGTTTAAAACAATACTGAAAATGTATTGTCTCATAAATCAAGCAGTAAGTTTACAAGTCAGATCAAATGTAGTAAACTGATACATTCAGAGTTCTATGAAGTCAAGGCATGAAACTAGTTATATGGTGCCAGATTTTAAGCAAGTTGATATCAAGAACCAAGGTTGATGCTTGCCCTCGGGGAATTTAGTGTCTGATGAAGGAAACAACAAATAAACCGAGGAGTAAGTCAGTACTTAAGAGTAAATATGCAAGAGGTGCTTGTCACAAGCAGGATTCTAGCTTCGTAGTCAGGAAGTGTGGGTGTGAGCTCAGAATCTCCTTAGATAAGTCCCTTAACTCTGCTGTTATATATTTGCTTTTCCTACCTGTTAGAGTGCTGTCTCATAGGGTTCTTGTGTTGGTTAGGAGTGTATATAAATATCTGAAAACCTGTTACAAAAGGATGGGGAGAGTAGATAAATAAAAACTTTATAGAATGGACAATACCTTAATAATATTAACAGGTACTAACTAGGTTGATAAAGGAAGTACTTGAAAAATTTGCAGAGTTTGTTAGGGAATAGAGGTTTTGCATATATTTTCACATGTATGTGTGTTGAAATCATGGTAGAAATTATTACATTGTGTGGTTAGGTTTATAATTTGTTGATAATTACGATTACTTGATCTAAGGTAGAGCTTGACCTTTTGTTTTTATCAAGTTTCATGGGAAGATTCAAATGTGCACTACCGTTTGCAAGTAGAAGTCCATTTCTGATGGCTAATTCTAGACATGTCACATTGGTGGTAACAGGCTTTCTTTTGTCAACTTTGTATTTTGTGAGTTCAGGTTAGAACAGGTTCTTTTAGCATAGCATTTCTTTGTCTTCCAAGATGTCCAGATGTATTTCATAACCAAGAGGCAGATGCAGTTGAGGGAGCACTATTAGTGGGGAGCTACAGATCAGGTTTCACTTTGAGAGTATATTTGGGGTTAGGGAGAGGCTGTATAAAAGTGGACTGCTGGTGAGCTGGATGACAAAGGAGACGCCATAGGTGTTTATGGATGACCCTGTACAGCACTAAGGGGGACTGAATTAAAGCAGTTTGGGGTAGAGGATTCAAGTATGATGAAAAAGATGCCCAGAGTGACTAAGTCCCACTTAGAAGCAGAGGGGAGGGAATTGCAATAAAGGGAGACATTAATGGAGAGAGAAAAGTAGGTATCTCATTAGCTGGAAGTAAATCTTAGAAATCTATTGTTATGGTATAGTTTTAATAATTAGACTTCATGTCAATTAGGGTTTCTTTTAAAGTTAAATGTAATATGTGAATATGTGTTATAATTTAAGATTGGGTTAAATCCTTCTAATGCATTACCTGGAGTATTGTCTCAGACTTAAAGAGCAAGAGTTATTTATCTTTTGACAAGGTTTCTCTGTGTTTTGGCTGTCCTGGAACTTGCTCTGAGGACCAGGCTGGTCTTGAACTCATGGAGACCTGCTGAGTACTGGGATTAAAGGTGGCATTTGCCTCTGTGCCCAGCAGGATTCATTTCCCTTATTGTGAAGTTCTGTTGACTTTCAGGTAGAGTGATAAGTTAACTTGTGTAATTCTTGCTATGTGGAGTTTAAGATGTATAGTCCCAAATAAGGAAAATAAAACTTGAGAGGGAGCTGGGATTGACATGTAAAACAAGCTTCTTTCAAATATAAATAAATTAAAAACAAAACAAAAAAAAAAAAAGAAGGAATAAAAAACCCTGTAACTAATTCTATCTCACCTTTGTTCTGAATGGATTTGAAGCTGGTGTGGATTGGCCATTTTTTTCTGCCATACTCATCTATTTTGGTTTTTTGTTTTGATTTGGTTCTGTTTTGCATTGTTTTCGCTATTAGTGATTCTTAGAATTGTTTTTATTAATTAGTGTTTACATTCATTCCCTTTACTTCCTTGGCCCTCGTTTTTTATTACTCATCTTCATTAGTTAAATTGTGTTTCCTCGAGTTGTATGCAGTTCTGAGAGATGGACCTAACACCCTAGTGCTTTTCTATAATTTTCACATCTATCACAGATGAGTGAATACTTCTTGGTTGAATAGTTATAATTGCTCATTTGATTCAGACTAAGGGACCTAGTCAGCATTTCTTACTGCTTGATCAAGTTGAGAAAACTTCATATTCTTGGCAGATGTTATCTGGAACTCAGTTTTTCTTCATTAAGCAAAATGGTTTCATTCCCCTGCTAAGGTAATATAGGTGGTAGTATTGGATGTCTAACAATTGTTTTAAGTCACACCTTGTATGTAGTAGTTCTTAAATAGGTATAGAGGGAGAGATGTACTTAAAAGATACCTTCTTGAAAGTTGAATTAAGGCAGTAGTGTTAGAATGAAAGTGGGAAATGCCTCTTACCTTGAGCAGTGAGGAGAGAAACCAATAAAATTCACTGGATTTGTAATATACAATCATGAAAATGCCTTCCTCTGGTGTAGGAAGAAAGTGAGCACCAAAGTATGATGCAGTGTGGACTACGTGAGCAGAGGCGATGGGGAGAATATAGCCTACATTGTAAATCTGGTCATTTTTAGTTCTTAGAGTGGGCACATTTCTCAGCCCAAGCATCTCGATCTCTAAAAGGGTCCTACTGAAGGGTTTGAAGAATTCTGTAGTTAGATAAATCATGTAGGAATGGCTACCCCTATGAAATACTTCAGAAATTTGTAGAATCATAAGAATGTTGTTGTTGATAGTATTCAGTGTTTACATTTCCCTTTGATGGCAAAGAGATTTTGATTTAGGTAAATCAGTTCTAACAGTTTTGTTTAAAGTTTAGTTAATTATGAAGTCAATAAGGAGCTTTTGGATACACTTCTCTGAAGAGCCTCCAT